GTTACAGTTACAGTAGAGAAGAAGGTTACAGTTACAGTAGAGAAGGAGGTTACAGTTACAGTAGAGAAGGAGGTTACAGTTACAGTAGAGAAGAAGGTTACAGTTACAGTAGAGAAAGAGGTTACAGTTACAGTAGAGAAGAAGGTTACAGTTACAGTAGAGAAAGAGGTTACAGTTACAGTAGATAAGGAGGTTACAGTTACAGTAGAGAAAGAGGTTACAGTTACAATAGAGAAGGAGGTTACAGTTACAGTAGAGAAGGAGGTTACAGTTACAGTAGAGAAAGAGGTTACAGTTACAATAGAGAAAGAGGTTACAGTTACAGTAGAGATGAAGGTTACAGTTACAGTAGAGAAGGAGGTTACAGTTACAATAGAGAAGGAGGTTACAGTTACAGTAGAGAAGGAGGTTACAGTTACAGTAGATAAGGAGGTTACAGTTACAGTAGAGAAGGAGGTTACAGTTACAGTAGAGATGAAGGTTACAGTAGAGAAGGAGGTTACAGTTACAGTAGAGAAGGAGGTTACAGTTACAGTAGAGAAGGAGGTTACAGTTACAGTAGAGATGAAGGTTACAGTTACAGTAGAGAAGGAGGTTACAGTTACAGTAGAGATGAAGGTTACAGTTACAGTAGATAAGGAGGTTACAGTTACAATAGAGAAGGAGGTTACAGTTACAATAGAGAAGGAGGTTACAGTTACAATAGAGAAGGAGGTTACAGTTACAATAGAGAAGGAGGTTACAGTTACAGTAGAGAAGGAGGTTACAGTTACAGTAGATAAGGAGGTTACAGTTACAGTAGAGAAGGAGGTTACAGTTACAGTAGAGATGAAGATTACAGTAGAGAAGGAGGTTACAGTTACAGTAGAGAAGGAGGTTACAGTTACAGTAGAGAAGGAGGTTACAGTTACAGTAGAGATGAAGGTTACAGTTACAGTAGAGAAGGAGGTTACAGTTACAGTAGAGATGAAGGTTACAGTTACAGTAGATAAGGAGGTTACAGTTACAGTAGAGACGAAGGTTACAGTAGAGAAGGAGGTTACAGTTACAGTAGATAAGGAGTTTACAGTTACAGTAGAGACGAAGGTTACAGTTACAGTAGAGAAGGAGGTTACAGTTACAGTAGAGAAGGAGGTTACAGTTACAGTAGAGAAGGAGGTTACAGTTACAGTAGAGAAGGAGGTTACAGTTACAGTAGAGAAGGAGGTTACAGTTACAGTAGAGATGAAGGTAACAGTTACAGTAGAGAAGGAGGTTACAGTTACAGTAGAGAAGGAGGTTACAGTTACAGTAGAGAAGAAGGTTACAGTTACAGTAGAGAAGGAGGTTACAGTTACAGTAGAGAAGGAGGTTACAGTTACAGTAGAGAAGGAGGTTACAGTTACAGTAGAGAAGGAGGTTACAGTTACAGTAGAGATGAAGGTTACAGTTACAGTAGAGAAGGAGGTTACAGTTACAGTAGAGAAGGAGGTTACAGTTACAGTAGAGATGAACGTTACAGTTACAGTAGAGAAGGAGGTTACAGTTACAGTAGAGAAGGAGGTTACAGTTACAATAGAGAAGGAGGTTACAGTTACAGTAGAGAAGGAGGTTACAGTTACAGTAGAGAAGGAGGTTACAGTTACAGTAGAGAAGGAGGTTACAGTTACAGTAGAGAAGGAGGTTACAGTTACAGTAGAGATGAAGGTTACAGTTACAGTAGAGAAGGAGGTTACAGTTACAGTAGAGAAGGAGGTTACAGTTACAGTAGAGAAGGAGGTTACAGTTATAGTAGAAAGGAGGTAACAGTTACAGTAGAGAAGGAGGTTACAGTTACAGTAGAGAAGGAGGTTACAGTTACAGTAGAGAAGGAGGTTACAGTTACAGTAGAGAAGGAGGTTACAGTAGAGACAGAGGCTATGCTTAACAGTAGAGAAAGAAAAGTAGGGAAAAACACCAATTATCTGCCTCTCCACTGTGCTCTGGCCTGCCTTGACTGGTGCAGACGTAAACTTTCTGTGCTATTTTCAGATTGGCAGGCTACAAGTGACCCTCTAAGTGGCTCCCTTAAAACTGTACACCAGCCCTGTTGGTTGAAGTGCTGTATGTTTGCAGTCTGGGCTGCAGTTTCATTTAGTGAGCAGTGTTGAGCTGTAGTGCCTTCAATGGCTAGAGGTGCATGTTGAGTTGTCTTTGTAAAAATATGAGATTGTTTCTTTGTTTAACCTAATTTTTTACTGTCTTTTATACTTTGTATTTAAAGTTTAAAGTGATATCCGGTGTGTTGTTTTCAGTGAATTCATCAGCATCTTTTGTGTTTATTTCTGACTGAAGTGCTTTATTATAGTGTCTCTAGTCAGGAAGTGCACATTGAGGACCGTGTGTATAAATTGAATGGAGTAAAGATCGGCACAGCCAAGCACGAGAAGCACACTGGACGCACACGAAGTCTTGTTAACCAACATAGGACTGGTACTATTATCCGTGCGACACTGATGAATATGTTGAGAGAGGAATCTGAGCGCCTATGGATGTGTCCAGAGTGGTGTGAAGATAATCTAACTCATAACTCATTACTCAAATTGAATATTACTAAACCTTTGGCAAGGTCTTTAGTATATTTTCTGTTTTTTGTTTTCAGTGAATACATGGTTAGTGTTTTTGTTTGTGACAGAAGTGCTTCTGATGTGAAGTATTCTAGAATTGTGCACTGGTCAGTAGCTAATCTTTAGGAAGACCTTTGTGAATATATCAGCGGGTTTTATTTGACTTGACTATTGGCTATGTCTGTCAAGTCTTGCGTGGATGCTTTCAGTGAAACCATTCCCTGTGTTTGTTTCTGACAGAGGTGCTTAGCTGGGGAGCCTGTGGTGGCCAGAAGGGCATATTGAGTTGTCTTTGCAAATAAATCAGTTGATTTATTTAGTTTTGTTAGCTGTAAGCTTCGTCTTTCATATCTTTTTTGTTATTTTGTTAGTGACAATATTTCTGGCATTTCTTGTGTGTTTCTGAACAGAGTTGAAGTTAATAAGACTTGTTAGAAGTTTCATATCTTTTTTATTTTTTTAGTAAATATTTCTGGCATTTCTTGTGTGTTTCTGAACAAAGTTGATCAGACTTGTTAAAAGTTTCATATCTTTTTTGTTATTCTTTTAGTGAACATATTTCTGGCATTTCTTGTGTGTTTCTGAACAAAGTTGATCAGACTTGTTAGAAGTTTCATATCTTTTTTGTTATTTTTTTAGTGAACATATTTCTGGCATTTCTTGTGTGTTTCTGAACAAAGTTGATCAGACTTGTTAGAAGTAATGAAAGTAAAGGATCTCTTCTCTTCTAACAAAGGAACTTTTTTTTAATCGCCAGTGGCAGACTGGACACAAGATGCTGGTCTCATATTTGTATCGATCAGTTGGCCTTCGATGAATAATGTGGCCGATATCATGCCAGCCGCCTTTACTTTCCAGGAGATTACCTGGTTCCAGTTTTAGTCGACCTAGGCGTCTAGGTCGGTTATGAAAAAATGTGCATCAGTGCAGATTTAAACCTAGGATCTTCATGCCAGTAGGCAGGTATCTGGACACTACACAGCCATGGCTGTTGTTAGAAATACGTGCTTGACTAAGAAACATTTCCTAGCTGAAATACAGTATCATTGATTGTATGTTGTTAGTTTGATGTTGTAAAGTAAATGTCGAAGGCCCTTTTAATGCGTTAAACACCTCAGACATATGGTGCTAGACCCTGATTTCTGATAGAGTGATGCCTGTGATGGAGGCTTCATAAATTTTATATGAGTCAGTGGTTCAGTAACGTGAGAACAGATCCTTGTTAAGTTTTATCTTTCTTCATCATTGTCTCTTTTCTCATTGGTTGTCTACCTAGGGAGTCATATCCTGAGCTCTAGTACCTTGTGTAGGCTTTAAAAATTACAGTTAGATAACTGGGTGCTAGAGTTCTGCCAAAACGGTTTGTTTTTAAATCTAATCCCTCTCTTCACCCCAGGATTGCAGGCTAAAAGTGTGACCCAGTGACTCAGTGCCACTATTTGGATGTGAGTCCAATAGGAACAAATCCCAGAAATCCTGTTCAGCATTATAAAACAGTTATGTGATAATTTTGGCATCATGTTTTTTTTGGGGTCTATAGTTGTCTAAATTTTAATCATTATTATAATACTGGCATCATTTTGCCATATTCATCAAAATTTTAATCATTATTGTAATTTGTGTCATTATTTTTGCCATTATAATATAATTGTCATCAACTTTTTTTAGTTAAATATTTATTGATCAACTTTAGCATTATTGCTATTGTTGCTATCTTTTTGACAATCATTATTGTTTTGTCAGTTTTAATTCCATCATAACCAGTGTCGTTCTTTTTATCATCATTTCATTATAATTTCTTTTTTCATCATTTCATTATAATTGCTTTTTTCATCATTTCATTATAATTGCTTTTTTCATCATTTCATTATAATTGCTTTTTTCATCATTTCATTATAATTGCTCTTTTCATCATTTCATTATAATTGCTTTTTTCATCATTTCATTATAATTGCTTTTTTCATCATTTCATTATAATTGCTTTTTTCATCATTTCATTATAATTGCTTTTTTCATCATTTCATTATAATTGCTTTTTTCATCATTTCATTATAATTGCTTTTTTCATCATTTCATTATAATTGCTTTTTTCATCATTTCATTATAATTGCTTTTTTCATCATTTCATTATAATTGCTTTTTTCATCATTTCATTATAATTGCTTTTTTCATCATTAATGTCATCTTATTTTAGTACTAAGCCACATTCTTTTTCACACTTTTAGGCAATTATAACTAAAGCCTTTTTGTTGCAGAGTTGAATTAAGGTCTTCAAGCTGGCAGAAAAGGGCTTAGTAATTATGCCAACAAGATGTTAACTGATTTTAGTTTTACATTTACACTATACATCGTACATATAATTCTTAAATATAAAATAAATGTTAAATTAACCAAAACCTCTGGCATGTTCTGCAGCTAACACAGAAGTAGTAACAGACGACGAGGATAGAGATCACAATTCCGGTTATGGTCATGGAGAGTATAAGAAAAAACATGGCCTGCGCAGGCTGTTTGGTCGTCTGAAACGCAGCAGCTCACAGGATATCAATGGCAGTCATGAGAGAGGAGGGGATGGGGAGTTCCGAAGGGGTGGCATTCGAGCCACGGCTTCAGCCCGTCTGGCATGGAGCAGAGATTTGAAAGGACGAATGTGAGTATCTGGCAATCTGTATTGTTTCAACGATCTGTCAGGTTTTTTTGCATTTGCTTATTAAATGCTGTTCCATTAGGTAGAGTAAGGGACCCTTGTTACCTGAGTTGTGTCTTGGATGTGTGATACAAGACTCATAGTTTATAGACCAATCAGCATATGATGGGTTCAGCGGTATGCCCTCAGTCTTTACTTCTCAGGTAATCTTTTTAGGCTGTGTTGACCTAGGAACCAAGGTCAGTGTAGAGATAATCTAAGACAAGGGGATTTAAACCCAAAACCCTTTGGTCAGCAGGCAGGCATCTAGCCACAATGTTACTGTAACCTCCACGCTGTTCTGTTACTTTCCAGAGACAGACCTTATCATTGAAATTCTTTACTGTACTGTTTTGAGGTTTTTCTTATTGTTTTCATTTTTCGCCTCATTGTTTTTTGTTTTTTTGGGGGGTTTAATTATCCACAGTACCTGTCTTGCACATTAATTATATGGAATTGAATCATGGACATTAAAATAGTGAACAGTTGTGTGGAAGCTGCAGAGATATGGCTTTATAAAATAAATTTTGCCAACAGCATAGACAGATTAAAAAAAAAATTTTATATGGATGTCTTGCAAGTGTGATCACACCAAGACTCAAACATGCTGCCTCCATTGACAGGATCTGCATGTAGGAACAACTGTAAACTTTTTAGATTTGAAACACAGAGACTTCACACAGGTGAAATAAAAGTCTTTATATGTAAATGTATCACACAGGTGAAATGAAAATCCTAATCTATATGTGTATCATACAGGTGAAATGAAAATCCTAATCTATGTGTGTATCACACAGGTGAAATGAAAATCCTAATCTATATGTGTATCATACAGGTGAAATGAAAGTCAAAGGGTTAACAACTCATGGTTTCTGGATACTTTAAAAACGATTTTGTATTTCTGTCAACATACCTTTTTTCACACACCCTTTTTTGGACGACTCCTGTCTTTAATTGCTTTTGTTGCCATAAAATATGGCTTATTCTGCACATCCACATCTTCAGGACATAATCATAACTACCTAAATGTTTTTTAATTGTCCAGGTTTCTACACTATATAATTGTGTTGAATATATACAGCATTAACATAAATAATAAGGTATCTGTATGCTGTGTGGCATCTACTCAGACACATAATCTGCATGAGTAACACACTCATCAGGAATAGTACTTGTACAAATGACATTGTGATAATAGTTCTTTCAGTTTCTACAATTAATAAGTCTGTTTGTAATCTGCATTATTTAAACATCTGATTTTATAATTGCCATTTTTCTGCAGCATGAATACAGAGGTGCCATTTGCCCGATGGGATACAGACAGGATCACTGCCTGGATGAATGACATAGGTCTCAACATGTATTTGGTGGAGTGCAAACGATGGGTGAAGAATGGAGAACAGCTGCTGCGGTGTACGCAACATGATTTGGAAAAGGTACCAGCACTGATATTCATTTCTGTCTCTTCCAACTCTGGTAAGGGCAGACAACCCATCAGTATCAGTGAGCACAGTTAACATCCCTTGACAGTTGTAAATCAAAAAGAGCAGGTTGATTAGGTTGCTACACATGTACATTATTTTTGTAACAAGAGTAAATCAATCAGTAAGTCACAAATGCTCGTTGAAAAAAAAAAAAAGAAACTAAAGAGGATAACAACTTGAAACCCGTTAATTTTTACACATGCACTGTCCCTTTATTTTCAACGTAATTTCCACCATCATTGATGCACTTGTCCCATCGTTTGATCAGTCCTCCCAAACCTGCTGCACGGAACTGCGTGCTCTTTTTGAAACCACATTTTCACTTCACGTTCAACTTATAGGTCATTCGTGAAATGTCTCCCCCCCAAGGTGAGTTTTCAGTCTACCAAAAAGGTGGTAATTGCTAGTGGCTAAGTCAGGGCTAAAAGGTGTGTGCTCCAGAAGTTCCCACTTTAGATGGTTAATTTTCTCCTGAGTTATCCGAGCTGTACGTGGTCTGGCATTGTCACAAAGGAACAGTACTCCTCTAGTTAGCAGGCCTGGATGTTTTCTTCAAATAGCATCATGAAGCATCGATCAAACTTTGCAGTATGAATCAGCATTGGCATGGTCACCTTTTTAAATTTTCAAAATTGCTTAGAAGCACTACTTGACAATCCCAGAACACTGACAGCATAATCTTCCCTGCTGATGGCATGTTTCTGTTGCATTGAAGCACGCTTTGATTCAGGCTAGTAGTGATGCACCCTTGATTCATCCCCAGTTATAAAACTGTTCAACATGTCTTCTCCATCATCTGTCTTTCGACGGAGATGCTGCAAGGACAGGCCTAATTGGTTCATTGTGTGTTCATCCGTTAATTGTCTGGGTGCCCATTTTGAGCACACTTTATTAAATTTCAGTCGATCATGCATTAGGTTGTATGCTGAACCTGCATTAGGTTGTATGCTGAACCATGTGAGCACCCTATTGCAGCTGCTACAGAGTCAACCATAACTAGCCTGTCACCTCTAATCATCTCCTCTACCCACTGCAAGGATGCGTCTGTTGCAGTCTCAACTAGATGACCAGATTGGACTTAATCAACAATTTTAGAGCGTCATTGAGAAAATGTTTTTTACCCAGCTATGCACCACTTTACGAGATAAACATTTATCAACATAAACAAGAAGCATTTCCTTATAAATGTCCTTATTGACTTCCTCTCGTAAATTGGACAACCAACCCATAAAAGAATGTTTACAGAAAATTTTGATTTTTGATTTTGTAATTGTTGTTGTATTTGTTATTGTTTGGTTGATATAAATTTCTGTAATCTATGGTGCAGTTTCGATGGTGTGAGACGAAGTATGTCCATATTCCATAGTTGTGAATTTCAATCTGTGTGATAGACAGTGGCCAGTGAAGACACCTCCAGTAGGGGTGCCTAGCTGGCCATGTATCTATGTATGGAATGGACTTGTGGATAAAGGCAAATCTCTCTGTGGTGTCAACTTGCTGGTCACATTGCCCCTTGGAAATAAAAGTGGCCAGTGTGACCATATTGCCCATTGTTTGACAGTTGGTCTACAGGCACCTATGGTCAATGCACTTTGTGGTGTCAAAAGAGTCCTTTACTTAACTAAAATGTTGCACTGTGTGAATCTAGAAGCAGGTTCAAATTAACTGTGGAGTTGATTAAAAGAGGCTGAAGGCAGTCTTGCACATATCATCATGATCTTGATGTGCTGTTTATGTGTCAGGACCCGCAGTCTGTTCCTCCATTCTACTATACTATTTTAGTCCATCATGAGGGATGAAGACCACTTTACATCCACACTATTAATGATCAATGATTATTAGTACGAAGATGGCCGATTAGTCTAGTATGAGCCTGGAAAGTTCTTGAGCCGTGCAGACAAGAGGTGGAAGCCGCAGTAAGCATGGGATTAGCGTTACGGTTCTTTCTAGTCTGTCTCTGTTTCTCTGCCGTGCAACCTCCATTGCCTGGCAAGCCGATGCAGCATGCCTAAGGGATGTGCACCATCCACAACGGTCCTGTGCAGCAGCCTCTCATGTTGCTGTGTGCTATGATGTAGGACAATATTGAAAGTATCATCATTCCGAAATGTCTTAGTGTAAAATATAGCAGTTATATTGGTTAGTCTAATTTTGCAGGTTAAGACATAACTATGAGCCCAGTTTTTTTTACAATTTTAAAAGAGAATGTATTTGTTATTCTTTGTAATTCTACATGTGTTGCTAGCAGTTCTACCTGGCTCTTGTTGTGTATTAGATGTCTGCTACAAATACTTGACTGTGTAGCTGACACTATGTTTCTTATGTGGCTGTAGGAACTAGGCATCAAGAACGGCCTTCATCGCAAGAAACTCCAGCTGGCCATGCAAGCCATGGCATCACATGGCGCGGACAGTCTGATAGAGCTGGACCATAATTTTGTGGCAAGTAAGTTCTGAACAGATATTTAATGGATGTGGTAAATGTAAGGGGATCAGATTGATTGCACTATGATTGATCCAATATGGATCAGCTTCTCTCTAGATAGCCTGGTGGGTGCATTGCACACAACATAAAATTATCTCAGCCACAGTCATTAACTATTTCAGGCCCATGAATTTTGACAGACAACGCTAACACCAATGCTTGGGCCTCAAAGAGTTACGGAATCTCTGAAACACCATCACTTACTTACCAGAAGACAAATCCGAAATAAAACATTACTGTCACAGCTCAAGGCAAACAGCTTCACTCAGAGACCCCTTAGTATATCCTCTTTCTTTTTTTCCTACTGCTTATGCCGTAAAAAAGTCGCAGAGAGGAGTTAAATATATACATGTTAATCCACGATACTGCCTTGGCAGCCCATCAGCTTGTTCATTTCCACTTACACCTGTATGCCTTGACACAAAAATTTAGCTTTTTTTTTTTTGTCAACTGTGACCTCTTCGGTAACTTCAACCACGGTTCTTTGAGACCAGCCATCCCAGTCTTCGTGTCGATACTCATTGAGTCACAGAGAAAATTGTCCCTGAAGTCTTGGTCTCTTATGAACAAGACGAGTAGTCATTAGTAATCTCCCTGTGGCTACACTTTGACCTGGCTGTCAGTCACCAGTAATGACAGGCTTGGTATTTTCTCAACGAACCCAACTGTCACCTCACTCCATCAACATTGTCATGTAAACAGGTCTTTGCAGAAAGTCGCTCTGGTCACGGTCTGCATGAAAGAAACTCCAACCCTCACCAGCTATCCCACCTACAGCACTTTCATATCCAAGGAGTCACTAATATCCTGTGTCCATCTTTGTGTTGATCAGCCCCTGCCTCTCTTCCCATGCCTTCTGCTGTTATTTTTTTTAATCCACCATGATGCTAGAAATGGCCAAAATATTTCAGTTTCCGAAACAAGATGTTGTTTATTAGCTAATGTTCCTTGATATTCAGATCTTGTAAAATGTCAGTATATTTCTTTTTTTCTTCGTCCTTGGTTTTCTGAGACTCTTTCTTTAGCACTTCAGCTCAGAAACCCCTGTTTTTTCCCTTAGAGCCTGGGAGGTAGTCCACGACTCAAATCACTCTATTTTTGTCAAATACTTGCCAGATACTTTAAAAAATACTTTCTGGCTGGACATGAAAACAGTAAACCACCCCACTTTATGAAATTTTAAACTAGTCTATGTAAATATCTAACAGTTTACCCCACTGAAGCAGCAACTGATTAGTTAACTAACTGAGGGATAATAAACACTGCATGTCAACTGTAGCAGCAACTGATTAGTTAACTAACTGAGGGATCGTAGACACTGCATGTTAACTCATTGAGTCTGTAAATGCTCGGATCCTCCTCACTATATCCCTCAGAATGCAATTGGTGACACCAGCATTATCTACCATTGAATTGCCCCTTCTGCTGATGGTGAGCGAGCACATGTAGGTTTGCCTGTAGTATTATGCTAACAAATGTTAAACCAGATCCCTTGCTGTGAGATGCCTATTTACTCTGCCAGAATGGCTGGATGATATAGGACTGCCACAGTACAAAGATTCCTTCTATGATGCCAGAGTGGATGGAAGGATGCTCAACTACCTGACAGTGGTGAGTCCAGATGTTGGAGACACTTGTGGATGTGCTGGTGTAGGCATGTGTACGTCTGGTGTAGGCGTGTTTACATGCTGGTGTAGGCATGTGTATGTCTGGTGTAGGCATGTGTACATCTGGTGTAGGCGTGTTTACACCTGGTGTAGGCATGTGTACACCTGGTGTAGGCATTTTTACACCTGGTGTAGGCATGTGTACACATGGTGTAGGCATGTGTACGTCTGATGTAGGCATGTTTACATGCTGGTGTAGGCATGTGTACGTCTGGTGTAGGCGTGTTTACATGCTGGTGTAGGCATGTGTACGTCTGGTGTAGGCGTGTTTACATGTTGGTGTAGGCATGTGTATGTCTGGTGTAGGCATGTTTACATGCTGGTGTAGGCATGTTTACATGCTGGTGTAAGCATGTGTACATCTGGTGTAGGCATTTGTACATCTGGTATAGGTGTGTTTACATGCTGTTGTAGGCATGTGTATGTGCTGGTGTAGGCATGTTAACATGCTGGTGTAGGCATGTTTAAATGCTGTTGTAGGCATGGTTACATGCTGGTGTAGGCATGTGCACATGCAGGTGTAGGCATGTGTACATTTGGTGTAGGCATGTTAACATGCTGTTGTAGGCATGTGGACGTGCTGGTGTAGGCATGTGTACATCTGATGTAGGCATGTTAACATGTTGGTGTAGGCATGTTTACATGCTGTTGTAGGCATGTTTACATGCTGGTGTAGGCATGTGTATGTGCTGGTGTAGGCATGTGTACGTGCTGGTGTAGGCATGTGTACATTTGGTGTAGGCATGTTAACATGTTGGTGTAGGCATGTTTACATGCTGGTGTAGGCATGTTAACATGCTGGTGTAGGCATGTGTACATGCTGGTGTAGGCAGGTGTACATGCTGGTGTAGGCATGTGTACATCTGGTATAGGCATGTGTACATGCTGGTGCTAGCATGTGTGGTCTAGACATGTGTACATGATGTAAACATGTCTGCTAGGTGTATGGAATATGCATATTGCATTTATAAATGTGCATATTGGCTGATACATAGAGGTAAGCTGCATGCTGACTGATGTGTGTGTGTGTGTGTGTGTGTGTGTGTCTTATTTTATGCATGTGCACTGACTGATGTATTTAGAGATGAGTTATTTACTGACTGATGTATTTAGATGTGTTAGTTAGTTAGTTGGGTGGTTGGTTGGTTGTTTAGTTAGTTAGTTAGTTATTTTGTTAGTTAGTTATTATTTTGTTAGTTAGTTAGTTAGTTAGTTATTTTGTTAGTTAGTTAGTTAGTTAGTTATTTTGTTAGTTAGTTAGTTAGTTAGTTATTTTGTTAGTTAGTTATTATTTTGTTAGTTAGTTAGTTAGTTAGTTATTTTGTTAGTTAGTTAGTTAGTTATTTTGTTAGTTAGTTATTATTTTGTTAGTTAGTTAGTTAGTTAGTTAGTTAGTTAGTTAGTTAGTTAGTTAGTTAGTTAGTTAGTTAGTTAGTTAGTTAGTTAGTTAGTTAGTTAGTTAGTTAGTTAGTTAGTTAGTTAGTTAGTTAGTTATTTTGTTAGTTAGTTAGTTATTATTTTGTTAGTTAGTTAGTTAGTTAGTTTTTTTGTTAGTTAGTTATTATTTTGTTAGTTAGTTAGTTAGTTAGTTATTTTGTTAGTTAGTTATTATTTTGTTAGTTAGTTAGTTAGTTAGTTATTTTGTTAGTTAGTTAGTTAGTTAGTTATTTTGTTAGTTAGTTATTATTTTGTTAGTTAGTTAGTTAGTTAGTTATTTTGTTAGTTAGTTAGTTAGTTAGTTAGTTATTTTGTTAGTTAGTTATTTTTTTGTTAGTTAGTTAGTTAGTTAGTTAGTTAGTTAGTTAGTTCGTTAGTTCGTTAGTTCGTTAGTTAGTTAGTTAGTTAGTTAGTTAGTTAGTTAGTTAGTTAGTTAGTTAGTTAGTTAGTTAGTTAGTTAGTTAGTTAGTTAGTTAGTTAGTTATTTGGTTAGTTATTTGGGTTATTGGGTGGTTGGTTGGTTGGTTGTTTAGTTGGTTGGTTGGTTAGTTGGTTGGTTGGTTGGTTGGTTGGTTAGTTAGTTAGTTAGTTAGTTAGTTAGTTAGTTAGTTAGTTAGTTAGTTAGTTAGTTAGTTAGTTAGTTAGTTAGTTAGTGCTAGATCCTCCCCTCATTTTGGTATTTATGTCATTGCACTGACTGATGTATTTACAGATGAGTAGTGTACTGACTGATGTATTTAGAGATGAGCTGTGTACTGACTGATGTATTTAGAGATGAGCTGTGTACTGACTGATGTATTTAGAGATTAGCCATTTAGTGACTATATTTACAGATGTGAGCTGTGTACTGACTGGTATTTCACATGAGTGGTTGGTTATTTCATATCGACACATCTGTCTTATCTGAATTGTCACTGATAAGTGATTGTAAACAGATTTCACTAAATTTAACAGCACACACAGATGGAAATGGAGAACTAGGAGGACATACCGGACAGCTTAACAGTTGAAAGTTTTAAAGATATGAAGAGTGATAAATAGTTACCGTACCGGGAACCGAACCTGTCACCCTCAGAGGATGACAGTGCCTCATTTCAGAAATAAGTTAACTAAGATGCATGATCATCTAGACACCCCTGTTGTTTTTGTTAAATGGGAGGTTGCCTGCCTGTTACATATGGGTTGTCGGCTGGTTTATTTTGGTGTTTAGTGTTCCATATGGGTGGTTGACTGTTTTATATTGGTGTTTATTATTTCATATGGGTGGTTGACTGTTTTATATTGGTGTTTATTATTTCATATGGGTGGTTGGCTGTTTTATATTAATTAGTGTTTTTATATGGTGAATGGCCATTTTGTATTGTTATTTAGTGTTTTATTTGGGTGGTTGGATATTTTATATTGGTATTTAGTGTTTCTTTTTTATGTGATTGGCTGTTTTATATTGGTATTTTGTGTTTTATGTGGGTTGTTGGCTATTTCAAGTGGGTGGTTGCTGTTTGGTATGAGTAGTTGACTGTTTTATGCGAATCATTGGCTTTTTAACTCTTTGAGTCCCAAGGAACGCAATATACGCTCATAGATTCCGACCTAGAAGCCCAATGAACAAAAGATGCGCCGATTTTACATCTTTCTTGACTACCCCTTGGGCCTGTGATGCTAAACCCCCTGGGACTCAAAGAGTTAATGTTCATAGAAAGCTGGTTTATAGGAATATTTCATTCTTTCATGTTGGTAATTGGCTGTTTTATGTGGATCATTGGCGTTTTTCATGTTCATGAACAGCTAGCTGGCTTATATGAATATTTCATTCTTTCATATAGGTGGTTGACTGTTTTGTACAGGTTGTTTGTTGTTTCATTCAAGCTTTTAGTTGTTTCTTTTGGTTGAAAGCAGAGCCTGTACAGGAAAGTATGTTTGGGAGGACAGTTTAAAAACTGCAAACTGAGAGTTTGTTTAAACTATCTGTTATGTTTCTTTAGGAAGACCTCATCTCCTTAAAAGTCTCCAATGAAGTCCATCATGTGTCTATAAAACGAGGTATTCAAATTTTGCGATTGAACAATTTTAATCCGAACTGCTTGCGGAGAAGGCCTACTCCTGATGAGGTAAGGTGAAGCAATTTGTGTCTGCATGGATATATTTTCTGTAATTTTGTCAAAATGAGTCGTCTTCTTCTTCATTCTTCACATTCACCAGCTGTAAACTCTGGTGGAAAGTTCTGGTTGTTCATCCACTTCTGGACTGCAGTCCTTTTCCAGAACCAGAGTGTTGCGTGTGCATCCATTTTACAGATCTGACTTATTTGTATGCAGACTGCTGGCTCCTTGCCTCTCAGGCAGATGCATTCCGAATTCAAAGGAAGCTTCCAATTAGTCGACTCTTACAACAAGCTTTTGTTTAGGCAGTGGGTCTGTTCTTGTTTTCCCCACAATGGGGTCTCGGAACCCACACAAGGATCAACATGAGTCTAATGCTACAGCTGTTATTTTCATGTTTCATACTGAAAAGCCTCTGCAGTCATGGTTTGCCTTATCTATCACATGATCACCAAAATTACAGATCAGGTCTCTGGTCTTGTCTCATTCATTCTTTGTGGTAAATCCACCATCTGTCTACCACTTTGCTCTGTTTCCATATAATTTCCAGATTATCACTGTCTGTTCTAGTATGGCTAATGGGCAGGATTACTGCTTTTAGTTGCTGCAAGTTATTTGCTTCTGGCTGTGGTTAGCCATTGCATTATTCCCCGTATGGGGACTGAAAGTATATAGTTTCATTGGCCAGCCACTGATTGACAGTTGTGTAATACTAGCTACTAGCCTAAATGATGATAGTCTAGTTCAAGTGTGACCATTCTAGGAAGTTCAGAAACACTGACTGGTCTAGCAACTGACAGTGGCTTATTTAGTGCTCGTAGAAAATATAGATCCCTTGCACGGACTAGAATGGTTTGGCCATTTAATAAGATCGTCAACTGACAGGGCACCACAAAGAGTAATGTCATACACATACAGCAGTAACAGAGGCAGAATATGGATCAGGAAAATATCGTAAACAGAAGGGCCTGTTCCAGAGATCTCTTCTGTATGATTCTGTGAGGCATTCCAGAAGTAGAGAAAAAAAAATTTAATGTTTGACAGCTTGTCTACTTTTTGTCCATGCAAACTAAAGTAGAGGTTCTATTTAGCTCTTTCAAATGTTTTTCTCTCAATAAAATTCGGTATTCACATAAAGTTTCAGGTTTTGAACAAGAGATCAACATCATGGCACACGGGTAGTAACCCATAAGTGCTCCGTTCTTCTTCTAACTCCTCAGAGTTCGAAGAAGCTCAGCACAGTCACAGGCTCTGTAGCACCGGCGAGGATCCTGAAACACTTTAGGTAGATTTTAAACTCCAAATTTTGGCCGGGCAGCGCCATTAGGCTGCTACTCTTTTTAATTTTCAACTGCCGAAGGATTTTTCATGTGCAACAATGCATACGGCATCCAACTTCACTACCTAGAGACCATGGGGAATTACTAGAAGTCCAAGTCCACGTGAAAAAATCCTTATCGGAGATTAAACCCGTAACCTCTAGCACTCGAGGCGGACACCATGCCTCAAGACCATGCAGCCCCCACATAAAGTAACCTTACATGAAGGTTGGCAGTTTGGCTGCGATAGATCCTACACTTTTTGTCTGTGGCTGTCAACTTTTCAGCCTTGCACTCTGAAGGTTGTGAATTCATTTCATGGCTGTGTCATTCGTTTCATGAGTGCAGTTTTTATTGAGTCCTCTGGGGATTGCCACCTTAGCTGTGGTGTTCGTGCTTTGTGTGACACTCTCGGCAGGTGGCTAGCCATTCTGCAGAGACAGACCGAGTCGTATGGGATAAAACCCAATGCCATGAAGTTGGTTTCCTCAGCTTTAACTTTTTAGACCATCCCTTGATACTAACCGCCCACTTATATTGCTGTCTACCTTTTGGTTACCAGTGTGTAACTTGATTTCCAGTATTCTTCTTCTTCATTTGCACATTCCGAACCCTTGAGATTCATTGCTGTAGGTCTCACACACCTCCATTCATCTCAGTCATTGGTCTTCTCTTTCCAGTCGGTGACTGCAGATGTTTAAAGGTCTGCCTGTATATATCTCTCCACAGTCTCCTGGCCTTCCTGGTAGTCTACCTACAATCAGCTCTTGTGTGTGTGCAGTTTTTATCACTCTGTTATCTACAATTCTCTCTGTATGCCTCAACCGTTGCAGTCTGTTAGCCCTTGTGTTGCCAGTGCTGTAATTAATAGGGATTTAAAATCTCCAGGATGGTTTGATAAATGCAAGCACTCCTCTTTAAAGTTGAACTGAGAAGTAGAAACAAATGTATGGCTATACACTAAATTTGTCACCTGACCCAAAAAACTTAAAACGTCTTAACTGCATACAAATTTAGAGTTTGTAGTCAATTTTTATTATCCATTAAACACATTAAATTCCATCAGCTTTCTTTTTCAGTCAGAATATTGTATTTCATTGTCTGTCCCTAAAACAGCAACCACCCATGAAAGGTATACCAGGAGAGGTTGTCTTGTGGACCAATCACAGAGTCATGGAGTGGCTGCGGACCATTGATCTGTCAGAATATGCTCCAAACTTACGGGGCAGCGGGGTCCATGGTGCCCTCATGGTGAGTAGCTAGTTTTCCTTGAACATATTGATGGCTTTGTCTGTGTGTGTTTGGTTTCTTCTTAGTAATAGTTATGTGGCTATATATTTGTTCTAATAGGGGTATTCACGGGTGTTATCCACAGGTATTTATGTATATGCAGAATTGTTTTTCCCTTGGCAGTAGCTTGTATACAGATATGTTCTAATCAAGAACAGTTTACCTGTATATAAAATCGTTCCACCAGTGACAATTACATGTGATGTGTATATATAATTTCTTACATTTCCAGCTTTCTGACATTGACAGTACTAGATGTACACATTCTAACATTGACAGTAGTAGATGTCCGCATTCTAACATTGACAGTAGTAGATGTACACATTCTAACATTGACAGTAGTAGATGTACACATTCTAACATTGACAGTAGTAGATGTACACATTCTAACATTGACAGTGGTAGATGTACACATTCTAACATTGACAGTGGTAGATATACACATTCTAACATTGACAGTGGTAGATGTACACATTCTAACATTGACAGTAGTAGATGTCCGCATTCTAACATTGACAGTTGTAGATGTACACATTCTATCATTGACAGTAGTAGATGTACACATTCTATCATTGACAGTGGTAGATGTACACATTCTATCATTGACAGTGGTAGATATACATATTCTAACATTGACAGTAGTAGATGTACACATTCTATCATCGACAGTAGTAGATGTACACATTCTAACATTGACAGTAGTAGATGTACACATTCTAACATTGACAGTAGTAGATGTACACATTCTAACATTGACAGTAGTAGATGTACACATTCTAACATTGACAGTAGTAGATGTACACATTCTATCATTGACAGTGGTAGACATCCACATTCTAACATTGACAGTAGTAGATGTACACATTCTAACATTGACAGTGGTAGATGTACACATTCTAACATTGACAGTAGTAGATGTACACATTCTATCATTGACAGTAGTAGATGTACACATTCTAACATTGACAGTGGTAGATGTACACATTCTAACATTGACAGTAGTAGATATACACATTCTAACATTGACAGTAGTAGATGTACACATTCTAACATTGACAGTAGTAGATGTACACATTCTAACATTGACAGTGGTAGATGTACACATTCTAACATTGACAGTAGTAGATGTACACATTCTATCATCGACAGTAGTAGATGTACACATTCTAACATTGACAGTGGTAGATGTACACATTCTAACATTGACAGTAGTAGATGTACACATTCTATCATCGACAGTAGTAGATATACACATTCTAACATTGACAGTAGTAGATGTACACATTCTAACATTGACAGTAGTAGATGTACACATTCTAAAATCGACAGCGATAGATGTCCACATTCTAACATTGACAGTAATAGATGTACACCTTCTAACAATGACATCAATAGATGTACAATTTCTAACATTGTAAGCAATAGATGTACACATTCTAACAGTGACATCAATAGATGTACACATTCTAACATTGTTAGCAATAGATGTATATATTCTTACACTACAGTAGATGTGTACATTGTGACACTGACAGCAGTAGATGTCTACATTGTGACATTGACAGCAATATATGTTATATTTTACACTGACAGTAGTAGATGTTGAACTTCTGATTCTGCAGCGCCTGCTCACACTGACATTGACAGCAGTAGATGTATAGATTTTTACATTGACAAAAGTAAATTTATATATTCTAGCAGTGACAATAGTAGATTCAAATGTATTCTTTCAGCCACTGACAGCAGTAATTATATACACTCTCACATAAACAGCGATATATGTACAAATTCTAAAATTGACCCCCCCCCCCAAAAAAATGTTCATTTTTGAATGTTGAATTAAGAATCAACATCACTCAGGACATTCCCATAAGTGCATCGGTATCATCAGCAGCAATCAGAGTTCTAATTCCGATACTACCAGTAACTGTCTGATCTTGCTTTTCCCTTGAGCATCGGCCAGATCCCCAGGTCACTGCTCACAGCACTATTCTCTTCATGTCTTGGTGATCTATTTGTGCCTCTACATTGTTTACTTGCTCCTTACAACATCTCACTTTCCATAGCTCAATACAGAACCAGCCAGTCTGTCTGCCTGTTCATTTCTCAACACACGAGCATGAGCTGGAGAAAATATCCAGAGGACACTAACTACCCAGGACTTATGAAACGGTGCTTGCCACTCTACACAGAACATACTTGTCTCCACCTTGTTCAACATGCTCTGTGTGAGATGGTTACAGTTACGACATGTGTGCACAGTGCAGCTGGTTTTCAAACCAGAGGAAGACTGCAGTGACTGCCTCCACTTCCATTCTAAAACTAGATGTGGTATCATATGTCAGGTTTTGTTGAACTAAGTGACGTCCATTCACTTTTGCTATGAACCTCCATGCACCTTGTCTGCCTCTCAACACAGAGCCATCTGTATAATCACAGAGCCATCTGTATAAACACAGAGCCATCTGTATAATCACAGAGCCATCTGTATAATCACAGAGCCATCTGTATAAACACAGAGCCATCTGTATAATCACAGAGCCATCTGTATAATCACAGAGCCATCTGTATAAACACAGAGCCATCTGTATAATCACAGAGCTATCTGTATAGATAATCACATCATCTGGCTGGGAATTGGCATGAATCATATGTTGAACTTCTGATTCTGCAGCGCCCGCTGGCCAGTCCCTGCACTCACGGCCTAGTGTTTTTTGAAACCTTTACAAGACTGATTGTTACTCACACACTTTCACCCACTCCTCTCCTGCAATATTATCAATCCTGCATGTCTAATTGTGTCTTCAGCTTGCACCATCCAAGAATTTGCTCTTTTAGTATGTGGCTCTTAGCTTTACTTTGGGCTTCATGCTAGAGGTGCTTCATGTTTGTGACAACTTCGAGATATGACTTTGCTTGCAGCACTTTGAACCTTTCTGTAATTGTCAACAGTGCAAGTATATATCACATAATACTACTGTGGTATCTCTTGTACATCCCAGACTTACCCTCATGGCTTCATTCTGTATGCTTTTGAGTATCATCAGCTGACTCTTTGATATGGTAAGCATTCCAAGTACCTAATTTATTACTGACAGGATCACATGCTGGAACATTGTGAACACCATTTTTTGTTCCCTGTCCATTGCTGCCATAATCTTGAGTGCATTGAGTTGTTTTTGGCATTTCACTGTAACTGCCTTCACATGATCCCTGAAGGACAGACTTCTATCGAAAGTGATACCTAGGTACATCAGTATGTTTTCTCTTTTGATGTGACTATCATTAATTGTGAGGCTTGGTACATCAGCTTGGTACAATTCTGTTGTCTAGAGAGCACCATAAAACAGCCACCTTTCCTGGGTTGATGATAGTATCCATTTCTGCACACCAGTCAGTCACTTTGTCCACAGTTGCCTGTAGCTCTTTGGCTGTCTATTGCCTCTCACTTTGCTGCTATACAGGTGGCAAAACATCATCTGCACATCTGTATCCTACCAGCCCCTTGTGCTTCAAGTTCTACAATATTGCTTGCATACACATTGAAGAGCACTGGTGACATTACAGAACCCTAGGGGAGATATTAAAAAAAAAAAAAAAGTAAAAATCCCTTTTCACGCCTTTTGACGCATCGGGCATATGGGCAGAGCATCCCATATTTTTACAGACCATCAGCACTAGGTGGGTAATGTGGTCAGCATTACGCCGGCTGTCTTTACTTTCCCAGGACAGCCCATCCTAGTACCCATTTTAGGTTGGGTCGACCTGCGACGTCCCATACCACGACACAAATCCACCCAGACTGCAGTGGGTTTCGATCGCGGTATGCTGGCTTACGAGTCGGACTCCAACGCCACAGGGGAGATATTGCAGGACTCTTATTCCATATTCCATGTACCCAGATGTCATATCTGACACTGTTGTAAGCATTAAGATCAAGTGCTGCCACTACATCAAAAGCAAAACTGGCTCCATTTGAACAGATATCTTTCCCTGGTTGTAACTGCCCAAACCTCTTTCATGAGTTCTTCCAAAAAACATTTGCATTTTAACAGCAATAATCTTCCCCAGCACCTTGTCAGAAGTATTTTCTAGAGTGGTAATCCTGAAACGGTTGAGTCTCAAATGATCTTTGCCTGCTTGTAGAAGTGGATTGAATAAGACTAATTCTGTTCTAAAGTTGACACCAGTTGACTGTATGCATTCTAACATACACAGTAATAGATGTACATACACGTTCTCACATTGAGGGCAGTAAATGTATACATTTTAACATCGTTGAAGATAGAATATTAGTTCTACTTGTGACTGGAGTTAGTAAAATCAAGAAATAAGCTTTAACACTAGCAGCTTTAACAGAAAATGGCGCGATGCCGGTTGTCGCAGTATTGGTGGGGCCATTATTTGATTAAAATTGATTGCGTGTGCAACTGCTGATCTTTTAATGACTTCTGCTACCATCAATGATGAACTGCATTTCTAACCTCGGACTGTTTGTGTTAGCACTTCGGATGGCTACCATATGCTTTTAATGCGAGTGTATGCAAGGGACTGTGATAAACACTCTGTGTGTTTTTCATTGGCACAGGAGTGGAGCAAAGATGTGATGACCGGTTTGCTATGAAGCTGAAATTAAAATTACCAGATTACCAGCTTTAAAAAAATGTTGATGTAAACACAGATTTAGGTATAACTGTTTGTTACTTTCTGCAGAAATATGTAAATGTTAACCACAAGTCTGGTTGTCTTACCCTCAAAATGTTGTCACTGTACACTGGTACTGCCTGAAGATATTGAACATTTACCCTGTACAATACCAGGTTTTAGAGCCTCGCTTCAACTCAGAGCTGTTTGCCGTCCTGCTGTCCATCCCTCCGAGTAAAACCTTGTTGCGGAGGCACCTCAACACTCACTTCATCAGCCTGATTGGTCCGGAGACACAGACCAGGAAGAGGGAGCATGAGTCTCAGCCAGGATATGTGCCACTGCTGCCCAGTAGCAAAGTCAAGGTCAGTATACAGTCTGCACCAACTGTTTTCTGTTACTGTATAAGGTAGGTCTGGTAGTTTGTCCTCTCCAGGGTGGCACTTCATAAGAATGAGCATCCTGCACGTACAGATCCTGGAGACCTCAGTTAACGTGCATAGCATTTGTATTGGGGCCTTTAGTGGTTGCATAGTAACCTCAAGTCTGGAATGGTTAGGAACATATTGTTCTTCTTTTACTGGCTTCATTTCAGTTAAGCAGGTTGTTGTTTCCTCGTTTTTAATATACATAGTTATTCAAAATGATGGATACACTTTCATTCATGTATATTTCCTTGAATGTACATTACATATTAATCATAAAGCAAGAGAAAGAGAAAGGTTTAAAGTTTTGAATACCTGCAGAACCGTATCACAGCTGCAGTGAGCTCAGTTACGCAAGGGATGCTTCTTCATGCCTGGGATGAGTTCGGTTACCGCTTAGATGTTTGCCAAGCAGCAGATAGCCGCCATATTTAATATCTGTAACCTCTACTGTAAGTTTGTAAACCTCAGACCCTCCTCCTTCTTGTGTGTGAAGTATTCAAATGTAATGTATATTCAAGGAAATATACATGAATGGAAGTGTATCCATCATTTTGAATAACCCTGTATTATAAACTGCCTCTGAGATTGCCTTGTCTGTTGTGTTATAAACTTGCCTTCATATTGACTTATCTGATATACTATAAACTTTATCTGGGGTCTCCTTATCTTTTATGTTTGAAATTTGATCTAAGGTTCCCTTATCTGTTATATAAACATGCTGTTAATCTCTTTATCTGTAATGTTAAAAACTTACCATCGTGAAGTGTTCTTCTTTGTAATATTATGAACTTTTGTAAAGTTGCTTATCTGTTATATTGTATGCTGGGTTAAACGCCCGTTAACTGTTATCATCATCATCATTGTCCTGTTGTGCCACTGTGTGTCACCTAAGGCTCACAGTCTCCATTCTCTTAAATCCTGTACAATCACTTTGATATCATGGATGCAATCCACCCCAGTTGTTTTATATAAACTTGTCCTTATGTTTTCTGCTGAATTGAAAAAAGGAATATGTGCTTAAATGTCCTGAAGTTAATTGTCTGTCGTATGTGTCTATAATAATATAATAGAAAGTTCAGAATATTATTTTGAAGTCTGTTTACACATTACATAGTTTTCTAGAAGTTTCTTTGTTACTTCATAAACAGGGCAGTTGTGTGCTTACTTGTGTTTGCAATTCTCTAACTATCTACAATGTCATCACTTCATAAGATTACAATGTTTGTCATATTCTCTACTTTTCAGAAAGGAAAGTTTGGTCTCTTTGGCCACAAAAGGACAAAGTCAGACACCGAGACTGAGTCTTTCATTTGTCCTCTTGAATTAAATGGACAGTATTCCAATGGAAAGGTAGGCTGCATATGATTGACAGTTCCAATATTTTCCACAATAATAACAAATATTATTGTCATCTTGACTCTGTGTTGAAATATTACAGATTGTGTTTATGTATTACAGCTTTATGAGATGACTTAACCTGTCTTAGTTGTTCCTTTCTCGAGCAGCAGTGTTGTTAGCTTGGTATGTGAGAAATTAAAGTTTCCTTCTGCATTTTACCTTGAGTTAGGTATGTTCGGAATATGGTGCTGAGTGAATGAAGGTCCAGTGTGGTGTTGCTGGCCTGTCAGTCCAGCAAGTATATGAGTATAGAGGGAAGTCTCAGAACGGTGGGACTTCTGCACGCAGAAAAAACGTTTCATGACCGAGTCAGACTGTCATGATATCACACGTCTAGAACTATTGACAGGTTACAAGACAATAGCATGGTTATTTTATTTAACTCTTTGAGTCCCAAGGAACGCATCATACATTTATAGGTTCCTACCTAGAGGCCCAGTGGACGCAAGATGCACTGATTTTACGTTTCTCTTGACTACCCCTTGAGCCTCTGATGCTAAACCCCATGGGACTCAAAGAGTTAATGCACACTTTAAGGGTTTCTGTTTAAAACCTCCTATTATAACATTAGGAATTTGCCTGCCAAGATTGTGGTATAGGTTCCTTCCCCAGAAGTGGCCGATGATTTGTTCTGATGTGTATGGCTGTGAGGTTTCAGTGTAGTTCAGGTACAGTCATGTTGCAGCCTTCTCTTGAATACTGTCCAGGCTAGGCTCAACCTCCTAACAGTGGGTATCGGGTAATTTTCTGGAAGTTCTCTGGAAAAGAAAGTTGATGAAGAAGGGAACTGGCCATTTCACCTCATATAGCGTGGCCTAGAATGTGTGAATGCTGAACAATTCAAGGTTGGGTCTGGGACTGCTTTTACTTATTATGTTCTGTTCCACTTGAGGATGAGTAAAGTATCAAGTATTGTTTGTAAATTACAAGGAATTTCACTGACATCACAGATCTGTTCACTGTCTAAAACATTTTGTTTTAGACTCCTGCAGTGCCAACAAGTTATAGTGTCTTACAGTATATGCTTTTCTTCACTATTTGGACCAGATCTTTTTTTGTTTTGTTGTTGTTGTTGTCGTTGTTGTAAACTTTCTGCAGCCTAATTGTAACATTTAAATCTTTCTATCGAGTAGGCCTATAATTGTAAAGTAAAAACTGATTAGAATTGAACGAGTTGGATAAGCAACTGCTGTAGACAGAACAAGTTAAAATAACAATTGCCTCAGATAGAACAAGTTAAAATAACAACTGCTTTAGATAGAACAAGTTAAAATAAAAACTGCATCAGATAGAACAAGTCAAAGTAACAACTGCTTTAGATAGAACAAGTTAAAATAAAAACTGCATCAGATAGAACAAGTCACAGTAACAACTGCTTTAGATAGAACATGTTAAAATAAAAACTGCATCAGATAGAACAATTTAAAGTAACAACTGCTTTAGACAGAACAAGTTAAAGTAACAACTGCTTTAGATAGAACAAGTTAAAATAACAACTGCTTCAGATAGAACAAGTTAAAGTAACAACTGCTTTAGATAGAACAAGTTAAAATAAAAACTGCTTTAGATAGAACAAGTTAAAATAGCAACTGCATCAGATAGAACAAGTTAAAGTAACAACTGCTTTAGATAGAACAAGTTAAAATAAAAACTGCATCAGATAGAACAAGTTAAAGTAACAACTGCTTTAGATAGAACAAGTTAAAATAAAAAATGCATCAGATAGAACAAATTAAAGTAACAACTGCTTTAGATAGAACAAGTTAAAATAAAAACTGCATCAGATAGAGCAAGTTAAAGTAACAACTACTTTAGATACAGAACCAAAAAGTAACAACTGTTTTGGATGGACCGAGTAGGAGTAATAAATGTTTGATGGAAACAGTTAAAGGAGCACTTATTTCAGATCATCATCTTCAAATGCCTTCCTTACTGGCATGGGTCAATCATACCTCTCCACAATCTGCGAACTGTAGTTCGTGTGTTGACACCCCTCCATGCCATGACAAATGCCTTACCTACTGGCATAAGTCAATCATACCTCTCCACAATCTGTGATCTGTAGTTCGTGTGTTGACACCCCTCCATGCCATGACAAATGCCTTCCCTACTGGCATGGGTCAGTCATACCTCTCCACAATCTGTGATCTGTAGTTCGTGTGTTGACACCCCTCCATGCCATGACAAATGCCTTACCTACTGGCATGGGCCATCATACCTCTCCACAATCTGTGATCTGTAGTTCGTGTGTTGACACCCCTCCATGCCATGACAAATGCCTTCCCTACTGGCATGGGTCAGTCATACCTCTCCACAATCTGTGATCTGTAGTTCGTGTGTTGACACCCCTCCATGCCATGACAAATGCCTTACCTACTGGCATGGGCCATCATACCTCTCCACAATCTGTGATCTGTAGTTCGTGTGTTGACACCCCTCCATGCCATGACAAATGCCTTCTTTACTGGCATGGGTCAATCATACCTCTCCACAATCTGTGATCTGCAGTTCGTGTGTTGACACCCCTCCATGCCATGACAAATACCTTCCTTACTGGCATGGGTCAATCATACCTCTCCACAATCTGTGATCTGCAGTTCGTGTGTTGACACCCCTCCATGCCATGACAAATGCCTTCTTTACTGGCATGGGTCAATCATACCTCTCCACAATCTGTGATCTGTAGTTCGTGTGTTGACACCCCTCCATGCCATGACAAATGCCTTCCTTACTGGCATGGGTCAATCATACCTCTCCACAATCTGTGATCTGCAGTTCGTGTGTTGACACCCCTCCATGCCATGACAAATGCCTTCCCTACTGGCATGGGTCAGTCATACCTCTCCACAATCTGCGATCTGTAGTTCATGTGTTGACACCCCTCCATGCCATGACAAATGCCTTCCCTACTGGCATGGGCCAATCATACCTCTCCACAATCTGTGATCTGCAGTTCGTGTGTTGACACCCCTCCATGCCATGACAAATGCCTTCCCTACTGGCATGGGTTAGTCATACCTCTCCACAATCTGCGATCTGTAGTTCATGTGTTGACACCCCTCCATGCCATGACAAATGCCTTCCCTACTGGCATGGGCCAATCATACCTCTCTACAATCTGTGATCTGCAGTTCGTGTGTAGACACCCCTCCATGCCATGACAAATGCCTTCCCTACTGGCATGGGTCAGTCATACCTCTCCACAATCTGCGATCTGTAGTTCGTGTGTTGACACCCCTCCATGCCATGACAAATGCCTTCCTTACTGGCATGGGTCAATCATACCTCTCTACAATCTGCGATCTGTAGTTCATGTGTTGACACCCCTCCATGCCATGACAAATGCCTTCCTTACTGGCATGGGTCAATCATACCTCTCCACAATCTGCGATCTGTAGTTCATGTGTTGACACCCTTCCATGCCATGACAAATGCCTTCCTTACTGGCATGGGTCAATCATACCTCTCCACAATCTGTGATCTGTAGTTCATGTGTTGACACCCCTCCATGCCATGACAAATGCCTTCCTTACTGGCATGGGTCAATCATACCTCTCCACAATCTGTGATCTGTAGTTCATGTGTTGACACTCCTCCATGCCATGACAAATGCCTTCCTTACTGGCATGGGTCAATCATACCTCTCCACAATCTGTGATCTGTAGTTCATGTGTTGACACCCCTCCATGACATGACAAATGCCTTCCTTACTGGCATGGGTCAATCATACCTCTCCACAATCTGCGATCTGTAGTTCATGTGTTGACACCCCTCCATGCCATGACAAATGCCTTACCTACTGGCATGGGTCAATCATACCTCTCCACAATCTGTGATCTGTAGTTCATGTGTTGACACCCCTCCATGACATGACAAATGCCTTCCTTACTGGCATGGGTCAATCATACCTCTCCACAATCTGCGATCTGTAGTTCATGTGTTGACACCCCTCCATGCCATGACAAATGCCTTACCTACTGGCATGGGTCAATCATACCTCTCCACAATCTGTGATCTGTAGTTCATGTGTTGACACCCCTACATGCCATGACAAATGCCTTCCCTACTGGCATGGGTCAGTCATACCTCTCCACAATCTGTGATCTGTAGTTCGTGTGTTGACACCCCTCCATGCCATGACAAATGCCTTCCTTACTGGCATGGGTCAATCATACCTCTCCACAATCTGTGATCTGTAGTTCATGTGTTGACACCCCTCCATGCCATGACAAATGCCTTCCTTACTGGCATGGGTCAATCATACCTCTCCACAATCTGCGATCTGTAGTTCATGTGTTGACACCCCTCCATGCCATGACAAATGCCTTCCTTACTGGCATGGGTCAATCATACCTCTCCACAATCTGCGATCTGTAGTTCATGTGTTGACACCTCTCCATGCCATGACAAATGCCTTCCTTACTGGCATGGGTCAATCATACCTCTCCACAATCTGTGATCTGTAGTTCATGTGTTGACACCCCTCCATGCCATGACAAATGCCTTACTTACTGGCATGGGTCAATCATACCTCTCCACAATCTGTGATCTGTAGTTCATGTGTTGACACCCTTCCATGCCATGACAAATGCCTTCCTTACTGGCATGGGCCAATCATACCTCTCCACAATCTGCGATCTGTAGTTCATGTGTTGACACCCCTCCATGCCATGACAAATGCCTTACCTACTGGCATGGGTCAGTCATACCTCTCCACAATCTGCGATCTGTAGTTCATGTGTTGACACCCCTCCATGCCATGACAAATGCCTTACCTACTGGCATGGGTCAGTCATACCTCTCCACAATCTGTGATCTGTAGTTCATGTGTTGACACCCCTCCATGCCATGACAAATGCCTTCCATACTGGCATGGGCCAATCATACCTCTCCACAATCTGTGATCTGCAGTTCCTGTGTTGACACCCCTCCATGCCATGACAAATGCCTTCCTTACTGGCATGGGCCATCATACCTCTCCACAATCTGTGATCTGTAGTTCATGTGTTGACACCCCTCCATGCCATGACAAATGCCTTCCATACTGGCATGGGCCAATCATACCTCTCCACAATATGCGATCTGTAGTTCATGTGTTGACACCCCTCCATGCCATGACAAATGCCTTCCCTACTGGCATGGGCCAATCATACCTCTCCACAATCTGTGATCTGTAGTTCATGTGTTGACACCCCTCCATGCCATGACAAATGCCTTCCATACTGGCATGGGCCAATCATACCTCTCCACAATCTGTGATCTGCAGTTCCTGTGTTGACACCCCTCCATGCCATGACAAATGCCTTCCATACTGGCATGGGCCAATCATACCTCTCCACAATCTGTGATCTGCAGTTCCTGTGTTGACACCCCTCCATGCCATGACAAATGCCTTCCATACTGGCATGGGCCAATCATACCTCTCCACAATCTGTGATCTGCAGTTCCTGTGTTGACACCCCTCCATGCCATGACAGTCAAAAATCTTCTTGCATGTCCCCTTCTGTCTCTCCAGATCTTTCCAGTGGTCACAGCATGTTCCAGTTTCCCTCTTCTCATAATGTGACCCAAAAAATGATTGTCTCTTTCTAATATTTGTGATTAATTGCTTTGAGCTCTTGCCTCTTTCAAAACATCTGGGTTGCTTTTTTTTTGTTTTAGCTGTTCAAGTAATTTTGAGGACTCTTCTGCAAAACGACATCTCTGAGGGCTCCAGAAATTGTTCAGCTTGTTTTTTTATTGTCTAGGATTCACAGCCACATGTAAAAACTGGTTCTATATAGCATTCAAGAATTATTTTCCTAACTTCCAGTGACATGGATTTATTGCATAAAATGTTCTTCATTTTAACAAATGTTCTCTTCTTTATCTGTTCTTGCATCGGATGTTATCTATGTGCCAAGATACTTATATTTCTGTACTTGTCCTAAAATAATGCCTTTGACTTTTGTTACATTAAGGCAGTATTCTTTTCTTAGAAGTCACCACTACTTTTGTCTTCTCATTATTCAAAGTAAGACCCATTTTATCACTTTCTACCACCACCGTATCTGTTAATTCCTGTCGTTCTTTCTGTCTTGTTTAAGATACATTTAGGTAATGTAATAATGGCTTGTCATTGATAAAATTAATTTGTGTATAAACAGGCATCAGAGTTTAAATATCTGGTAACAATAATCATGAAAGAGGGTAAATTAGATGAAGAAATTAACATTCGATGCAGTCAAGCAAACTAAGTATTGGGACAGCTAGCCCTCATTTCAAAACAGAAGACAATCCCAGTCAGCATAAAGAAACATCTTATACAAAGCTTATTCAATTCAAGCCTATGCTGCCAGTGGGGAGAAAGGGGGGGGGGTGGGGGGGGGGGGGGGGGGCAGACTTTGCTGCCCTTAAGAAAAACATGTCATTAAAAGATCATTAATTAAGAGTTGGCTTTGGGCCGAAAGAGCAGATATTGCAACATTGTAGTAACTGTCAACGCAAAATGTCAACAGCTCTTTTAAGTGCCAATTCAGAAGAAGAAGAAGAACATACACTACTGTTTGCTACATATTGTTTCTTTCATGACAGTACTTGAACTGTTAGGTATGTCAGAACATTTTGTCTGTTTTTCTCAGCCAGATGACAAGGCTGCTAAACAGATTGGAGCATACTCACAGGAGATCAACACATTAACAGTAAGTTAGAGGCTCCTTTCTCTTCTTTACCTCCTCCTCCTTCTTTTCTTCTACTTATTCTCCTCCTCCTCCTCCTTTCCTTCAATGACCCCACTGCTGTTTTGCAACTTACATGGAGAAAAATTTTCTCAACAAACTTGTGCTGAGCCCTTGTAAATGGATTGGTTTTTTACTGATTCAGTTTTCTCTGGGATGAAGTAGCTAATAACTTTGTAACCCTTTGTAATCATCTCTTAGGGCATGATTGATTACTTTTGTTATGGGTCTAATTTACACTGACAAAGGCCTACATGCAAGCCACAAATTTTAACAGACAGCTACTGTGCTGTAACTTAAATTGTCTCAATTTAATTACATGGAAGAAAGAAATAATTTGGTGGCACTTGAGAAAAATGCCATCAGCTATATACTACAACTACGTGGTCACGGAAAGTCAGTCAAGGAACCAATTCACACCATTGGTAGGTCAGTCATTCTGTACTTTTCCCTCCTGGATTCCAGGACTGTGTGTGTGTGTGGGGAGGGGTTTCAGACCTACTGCACCCTAACAAACATGTTGTAAAAGATTACTTATTAGGAGTTTACTGAAATTGGATGTGTTGGGCGGACAGACCTGATGTGGCAGCCTAACTGTAAACCATAACACAGCATTTCTTGCAGTAGATTCTGTACTAAACCCGTAGGTTTATAGATGGGAATTGACTAGACACAAATTATCACCAGGGAAGTTCAGCGAGCAGGGACAGGAAATAAACAGGCACAATTATGGTCTAATTTGTTTACCAAAGTCTTTATCAGTGAATGCACCAAGAAGGAGAATTTGTTTACCAAAGTCTTTATCAGTGAATGCACCAAGAAGGAGAATTTGTTTACCAAAGTCTTTATCAGTGAATGCACCAAGAAGGAGAATTTGTTTACCAAAGTCTTTATCAGTGAATGCACCAAGAAGGAGAAGATTCCTAATTCCTGGCCTCACATGGGACATCATATAGAGATAGAACTAGAATGGAAGTGTGGGTAAAATGTGGGAACATGGAGATCAGTTTTTATAGACCAGGGCTATTCAGCTGGTGGCCTGCAGGCCAATTTTGACCCACGGAGGCCTAGCAAGCGGCCCACATATGATTGTCATTTGTATTGTATTAATGGCGTTTCTGTGCTGGGGCTGGAACCTCTGGCCCTTGACGATCACCGTTTAGAAAATGTGGCCCCTGCCTAAAATTAGTTAAATAGACCAGTTAACACGTTATGAAGGATGTGTTTAACATCACCCTGGCCACCTTTATCTTCCAAGTCATTTCCATAACACGCATTTGGGCTGGGTCTACCGGAGAAAAAGTGGTCAGTTATAAAACCTGCCCCAGCGCAGACTGAAAAATCAAACATTCAGCTGCCAGAGTGGTGTCGTGTTGGGGCAGCCATGACTCGCATATACTCAAGGTGCAGGAATGGACTGACAGTTATTGTTCACACTGAGCGGAGAGAGTACAGTGAGTGGTGTCATGTTTTGGTGCAGCTGGAGCTTACAATTAAAAGGTGGTAATGATGACAAAGATGGGACAATAGAATCCCCGGTTCTGTGTATATTGGAGCAAAAATCTGGTTGGGGTTTCTCAACTACTGATTGCCGATTTAAGAATTGACATGACAACATACTTGACATACCAGTAGATGCTCCATCCCCGCAGCAGGTGTTGTAAGGTGTAGATCGGAATGTTCCAACAGTAGATTGATAGTACATATGCCATACTCTTCTTTGCATATGTCTTTTCTTGCCGGATCCACATAGGCTACAACTCCCCACAACTTTACATTTATTGTCTCATCTAAAATTCCAGCAGAGTTTGTTTACATATGTTATTTAGAATCTTGTCCTTAATCATTGTTTATGCTGGTATCGCTTTTGTAGCCAGAAAATCCACTCACTCATTCACTGCACTCTTGCCTGTACTAGATAGTGTCTCGGAGTCAGGGAAAGGTTGCTGTTTAACAGAATGGTATCTTTACAGCCCCAAATGTGAAGAAGTTGACTGTGATCAAAGCAGCTTACATTTCCTTGCCCTGTCTTTCCTTTTCAGACAAGCTCTAGAACATTGTCTGCTATCCATTTTTATAAGGCTTGGGTCGACTCTAGAGCTGTGTTGTTTGGACAAAATATGATTTCTTTGCTAAGGTCTGAATCCAAACAACTGTCATACAGTAAGGAAGTGCACTCATTACTGTGCCACTGTTTCCAGATGATAGTTTATATTGTGTTATAAAGAGGCATGGCAATCATATATATTTAAGACCGGTAATGAAGCTCCTTCTCCCGGTAGTACAAAGCCTGGGTAGTATTAGAGAGCCACGAGTTGCGCAGGCCTTGTTTACCCAAAATAAAACTTAACAACGGTATGTTTGGAACAAAGCGTGCTGCAAACGCTGTCAGATCAGAAGATCTGAGCTCTGTCCACCTGTTGGAGCTTCCCTCTTAGAGCAGCTGCCAGCCAAGACTAATGGCCTGCCCTGCCTTGCCATTACATTAACTCTTTCTGTCCCAATCAAGACACAGTGTGTGTGCTCAGCTCATGTCATTGAGTATCAAAGCACACATGGTATGTTATATTTATTTCATGTTTGGTCTGGGTACGCAGAAGAAATCCGGCCAAATATTTTAAAATGAAACACATTATGTGCTGTATCTTTGAAAGTCATAACTGATGCCTTTTTCACTGTGAGTATTGTGCCAAACTGTATTTCTACTTTGAAACCATCTAGGACTGAACAAATTGAGTTTTCTGTTGCCTTTCTTCTTCCTAGAAAAGGCTGAAGTCTTCACTTAGTCTGCTCCACTGCTCGAAGCATCTGGCACAATAAGGGATGTCAGGTTTGGTAGTCACTGCCACCACAGCAGTAGAATTAGTTGTGTTTATTTCGGTCTGGACCTAGAAGAAGAAGCTTCTGTGATACAGTGAATTTTATCTCTCTTTACTGATGGGCATCCTGTATTCTGTGAGTTCTTGAACATTTTGGCTTAGGGCTTGTGAATGTAGAATGGCAGTCTCTGCATGTCAGGGTTCGAAGTAGCTGCAGTGCATTGGGCAGCTAACTGCTTTCCACTGATTTAGAAGACATTAGTGTTGTATTGTTCAGAAAGTAATTGCAATCTGTTAATGTAAAATTGCCTACTAAGAGAGCACACCACAAGCAAACATTTCTTATAACTCATACACTGACGATGGTGTTTTTAATGTTCTCTTGCAGAGTTTGCTATCACATGAAAGATTTCTGGAGTCGGCAAAAACGTCAGACGTATGACCTGAACCGGCTTGGTCAGCAAAGACATTGAACATTTAACCTGTTCTGCCTTAACTCAGCATAAGCTGTTGTGTGCTGCTTGTTGTTTTAAAACCAACAGTTGATATTAAATCAAAGCTTGGTTAAACCAAACGATCCTTATTTTATAAAAATCTGATTAACCCAACAGTTGATATTATATAAAAGCCTGGTTGAACCCAGCTTTTGATATTATTTGAAAGTCTGATTTCTGTACATAAAACAAACAGTGAGGTTGTGTTATAGCTGATGGTTTTATCAGCAATTTTACCCTCAGCTTTACATGGAGGAGCATCATCAGCATTAAATACAATTATAGTGGCTTCCGGAAGATGATATTAATTGAGTGTATGTGCTGTTTTGTCTGCTTGATGTTATGATTGCCCCTAGTGATATTTGTGGCCAAAGTGGTTTTTGTGTGTGTGTGTGTGTTTTGAATTTGTGCCTACTATTTTACATAACTTTTAATTTGTGCTGCTTCCATAATGGAGTTTGGCTGCAGTGGATTCACTGCTGTCTTTAGGAATGTTACATGATAAGGCCCAAATCTCTTCCACAATGTGACTCTTAACCTACTGATTGAAAGCCATGTTAAATACACCACCAGTTGGTGCATTTTTAATTGTTTTATCTGATACACATTTATCGTTTGTGTGTACATGTCTCTCTCTCTCTCCCTCTTTCTCTCTCTTTCTCTCTCCCCGCTCTCTCTTTCTCTCTATCTCTCTCTCTCTCTGTGAGTGAGTGATGTAATTGAAGTATGTTTAGAATATTAATGTGAATTTAATGTTAATGCAGGTTTTTTAATGCTTCATTTTCTATCTATTATCAGTTAATTGTGATCCTGTTACGTTGAAAACAGATTATTTATGATTCTAAGTTATGCTGTTTCTTTCTGCTTTCTTCTGTGTTCATGCAATTTTCTGTGATAACATAGATTTATTTCTAGAATCTTAATCTAAATTCAGGTTGATGTTGGTTTCTTTGCTACATTCTTTAAAGTAAACTATAATTTTAACACCATTGGCCAAACGGGCATATGATGCTAGATGCATAATATAACTGAACAATCGCCGCTGGATGGATGTATTGACTATAGTCATGCTACCCACTTACCTTCCCATGTACATTTCCTAGTACCCACGTTAAACTGATATTAACCTGGGAGCCCTAGATCATTTATAAAAATTGACTTTATTTTTGTGTTCAACATATTTTTTCTGCCTGGCTGCTGCTGTTGTCATCCCAGATCTTCTGAGTTACCAACTTTGGGCAATGCATTCTTGGTTTGTTGTAGCTGATGCAGAAACAAACAGCTTGCTGATGTAGTTAGAAGCCTCTCTGGTAAGCTTTCTCTGGTGTTTTCAAGTGGGGCATTTGATTAGAAGCTGTTGTTTGTTGCATGCAGATATTAGCAGTTCTTTACTGCTTTGCAGAAGTCGGTTTTTACGGCACCTAACTCTTTCACTCCGTAAGAATCTTAAAGACGCATCCGTTTAATTTTCTGAAACTCTACCCTAAGAAACTAGAGGAAGAGAAGAAGGAGAAGAAGAAGAAGAAATTTGAAGTCTTGGTTAGTTTTTGTAAACATCCAGGGGGTTGAAACCTGTCACCATCAAGCAGACGGGCAGCTGTGAAATCACTGCTGCGATGTCATTAAAATAATTTATATTCTTTTTTCTAGT